AGGCTATTTCAGCGTAACCTTAACTAGTAGGTGAGCTCACGGGGCTCAAACCTGACGACGTTGCTAACACGAACCCTAGCAAGAGCCGTGCTTCGCAGAATCTACCACCGGATCGGAAACGCGACCCACTGAGAAGATCCGGGGAGAAACTCAGTGGGCTGTGTCTGAGGGTTAATTTACTCGTCGAGCCCTTCGTCGCAAGCGACGGGTTCGACGAGAACGATGACCGGTGCTTAAAGTACCTAAAAGCACCGTTAGTGGATCGGGAGGATCCGAAATGACGTGTTTGGGGCGACGTCGACTGCTTTCCATTCTGTCCGCAGGATCGGGAATGTAGTTTCCAGCGGCCAAGATGAGAGGGCTCTCGTGTCGTGCCGCTTTATCGAAGTGGGACTTAACACTAGGAACGTTTCGGCCTCCTTATTATAAAAATATACGATCAGAGACGTCAGTGAAACAATTCCTTATGCGTACCATAAATCACTGTGGTGTAAGCTTTTTCATGTGTTTCCTCATTGGGACGGATTTGATGAAATAAATACTTTCTTTGTTACTCAAATAAATGGGATGTAACCTAGGGTTTTATTACATTTTGTAAAGTGACAAAATAGGAAACCTTTTAATTTCACACGTTTTGTTTGTCACAGCCTTTAGACACGGAACTTATTTGTAGGAAACGGATGCGTAGTCTAGGTGACAGCAAAGCTGGGTTTTGAAATGTATTGCAGGCGGAAAATACTTTTCTTTCCGTGGACGAAGCCGTAGTTAATAACATGCGAAGGATTCTCAGAACATGATTGCTGGTTTTCTAGGCATATTGCTCGACAATCCTGTGACAACCATGAGAAACTGATCGTCATAGAAAAAACCTAGGACGAGAGGAGGAAATAATGGAACTCAATACGATGGGTAATCGGGACAGACTCAACATCAATATGGTGATAGCGCTACGTGCTGATCATAGCTAGAAGGGAAGGAAGAGCATCGTGTTGGAAAATGTGATGCCCTGATTGATCGCGACTTGCAGGGGTCAGGAATTAACGCAAGAAGGAATATAATAGCAATCTAAAATGTGAATCTCGGTTATTTTGATTTGCCTGTTCTTTTCAGAATTGTGGAGCCGGTGGTATAATTAGTATATTTGACATTCCTGCAATGGAATAAAAATATATTTTTTTATAATTTCTTGTGTTATGACTGGTAACAAATCACACATGGTCATCCAGCCCCAATATAGAATTACCGGTGTTATTGGTACCAGAGACTGACAAACATTCTTATATATGTTTAAATATATACATCGTTATCATCTCGGCCTGTCTACAGTCCACTGGTGAACATAGGCCTCTCCAACTGGTGTCCAGTGCGGCCGGTTCGTTGCCACTTGCATCCAAAGTTATATAATATATTATATACACTTCTTCTTCGTCGCTTTCTTCATTACTGAAGATCGTGTCCCTGAAACTTGACCGTGGCCTGTCTCGAGAGCTGTTTCCATCTCGTCCGGGCCTCAGCTTCTCGAATGGCGGTTGCGACTGGCAGCCCAGTTAGGGCGGTTATTTGATCACACCAACGGCTAGGTAATCGGCCGCGGGGTCTCTTTCCTTCTACTTTGCCCGTCACGATCACTTTGTCCAAGTTATCTGACTGTCGACGGGCAATTTGACCGAAGTAGCTGAGGATCCTCTGGTAACAGATTGTTGAGAGCCTGACTCGGATGAGAAGCTGAATCGGAATATATACACATATACATAACAAAAACCCAGGCAAAGAGCAAACAAATCAAAATCACACAGTATTTGTCCGATGTGGGAATCGAACCCATGACTCTTAGAGCAACAGTCAGGACTGCTAACTACTGCACTACCGAGCCAGTCAGTGATTCTCATTTGAAATTTGTACTAAGTAGATTTGCGCGGTGAAGTGAATAACAATTGGAGTTTTAAGATTTAGTTGAACACATAAACACAACAATGCAATTCTGATTTTGTTAGTTCTCTTGATATAGGCAACATTGCAATTCTTTACTGGTAGTAGGAACTCTTGTGAGTCCGCGCGGGTAGGTACCGCCGCCCTGTCTATTTCTGCCGTGAAGCAGTAATGCGTTTCGGCTTGAAGGGTGGGGCAGCCGTTGTAACTATACTTGAGACCTTAGAACTTAAATCTCAAAGTGGGTGGCGCATTTACGTCGTAGATGTCTATGGGCTCCAGTAACTTAACACCAGGTGGGCTGTGAGCTCGTCGACCCATCTAAGCAATAAAAAAATATATATTCAGATTTGCCGTCATCTCCAAATGGGAGACGGTATTAATGTCGTGATGCCTATGAACACGACTAGTCACTTCACAAAATATGGGAGAGTCGTTCAAGAAGCCACTTTAAGAATCAAGACGTCATTGCGATTACGAAAACTGAAAACTAAATTAAGAGTAAAACCGACGTGCCCTTAAAGAACGATTTCCAGCTGCGATGAATGGTTAATGTAAAAAAAAAAACAGATTACAAAACCTTGAAATTCCTTTCAAAAGACTTACCGCTCCCAATCTAAAAAGTCTTACTGAAGAACTGGAACAAATCAGTCCAACAGAAAAATACCGTAAAAACCGCCTTTATTAAACTTACAAGGAAAATTGGCCATTATCCCTGAGTGTAATGTAGAAAGCGAATATTCACGGGCCCTTTATTATTAAAGTACTTTATAATTCGTTTAAAGAAATGTTTCGAAACGGCGTACCTTTTAGTTAAATAGTTTTCTGCGGAGTTCGGTAGGCGCGATGGTGGGGGCCGTGATGTCACGTTAGCGTGTGGTGTAATTTAGGTACTTGTTGCTGATGTTAACACTTGTCCGCGCCAGTACTTCACGTACAAGAGGGGACTACGAGGTTGCGGGGGGGTCCAACCACCACTACGGCATTGACGACTCGAGCGGCGAGGACCGAACACACACAGCGACACAGAACACAACTGGAACGATATAGAATCGCACGCGCGACTCGCGGCTAATATTGCATTATACTTTATATACAGTCCACCTAACAATAAAACCTCAAGAACAAAAACCTTTATTTTACTGAGCTATCGAACAACACTTAACAGCAGGACATACACATAACCAATCCTGTAGATCAAATGTTAATCAGTCGACGTCGCCCTAAACACGTCATTACGGATCCTACCGATCCATTAACGGTGCTTTTAGGTGCCGCAAGCAACGGTCACCGTTCTCATCGAACCCGTCGCTTGCGACGAATAGCTCGACTAGTGAATTAACCCACAGACATAACCCACTGAGTTTCTCGCCAGATCTTCTCAGTGGATCGCATTTCCGATCAGATGGTAGATTCTGCGAAGCACTGCTCTTGATAAGGCCAGTTTTAGCAGCACTCCCGGTTAGAGCACCGTGAGCTCACCTACACGTGAATGAGAAGCTGAAATAGCCTCTCAATGCTATGCTGATAGGTAGGGGAAAAAACATACAATGAAACTGAGACTTTGAACTTAGCTCTCATTGTGGGTTCCCGTGTTTGCGTTGTTGATGTCTTTTGGTTTCGGAAGTCACTTCACCCTAAGTAGCTGTGAACTCGTTCACCGGTCTAAGAATTAAAAAAAAAATCAATGCAAGTGGATAAGTTAGGATTAGAAGCGAGAAATACAATTCAACAGATATAAGTGTATGGTATCTTCGTCAAAGACAGAGAAAGATTCCCTTTCAATAGAAAAAAGAAGGGAAGAGTTGCAGTAGCACGGGGAAGTAAAGCTAACAAATAGAAAAGTATGTAAAGTTTTAGAGATTTTTTTCCAAAGAGCAATCTGATAATCAGAATTAAAGGTTATTTCGATTTGAATTTGAATTCTTGTTTAACTAGACAGCGGCTTGGCTCTGTCCCCGGTACTGTCGATGTCCACGAGTGATGGTACTCACTCACCATCAGATTGGCCATATGCTCGTATGCTTACAAAGACAAAATGAAAGTTTCAATATATGGACTATCACTTTACTCAAAGCTTAAAAGCCCTTGTTGAATACCGTGGTCTTTGAAATGTTCGACTGCCTTCGTCTTGTTAGTTCCAAATTTTTAATTTTTCGGGTATGTTTTTTACTACACGATGTTATTTCTTCACCGTGGAAGTCAATCACGAGCATTTGTGAAGTACGTATTTCATTAGAATAATTGGTACGTGCCTGCGGGTTCGTACACCGTTGCATCGCTCGACACGAATGCACCGGCGGTCTTATCCTTTAGGCTACGACGACTTCAAAACGTAATAGTCGTGAGAGCGGTAGCTAATGAGAGTGAATAGACGTACACTGCTAAGCTACCAGCGTTTTTGTATTGTAATCACACCCCAGTATCTAAGAGCAGCTATCGCTTTTCACTTGACCCTCACCCAAAAGTCAAGAAGTTTGTAATGTCATTACCTACTTGAAGCTTTGTGAAACGCCGTCTCACACTCACCAGGTATTCAGATATTGCTTACAGTGCTGTTGAAATATTTCAAAGATTTATCTGACTAGGCACCGCAAAATGGTAAGTACCACCACTCTGCTTATTTCTGCCGTGAAGCAGTAATGCGTTTCGGTTTGAAGGGCGGGGCAGCCGTTGTACTTTTAAAAGTGAGACCTTAGAACGCATATCTCAAGGTGAGTGGCGGCATTTACGTTGTAGATGTCTATGGGCTCCGGTACTGTACTGTAGTTACTGTAACTACCACCAGTGTTTGGGCGATGTACGAAGAAATTTGTACAAATGAGCTGTAATATTCTTTAATTTAGTTTCAATGATAACCTTTTGTCTGTACGTCAAAATATATTATTATTTTCGTAAAATAATCTTCAATATCAAGATAAATTATTTAATTTTATGATAAGAAATTCTAATTACGGACATGTTATAAATAACGACATGTTTTTGGTATAATGAAGCGGTGCGCCCTAATTAAAAACCCGTCTTTATGGTTCAAGGTCGGGTAAAAAATAAATATTTACTGAAACACTGCTTTATTTGTAATACGGTAAAACATATGATCTGTACAGCTCGACACCGAAGTCATATGTCCAAGGCAAGTAGAACCAAGGTTTCACGACCGGCGCTCGGCCCTGGGAATTGTAAAATCTGTAGTCTAAAAACTCGTACGGCTGCCATCCCATGTAAGATGCATATAAGAAATCCAGTACTGGGTGGGTGTCGAGTACTGCAAAGTAACCCACAATGTCTTTGGATCTGAAATACAAGTATATTAGGATAAATTTATAAATATAAGCTATTACATGAAGCAAAAAACCTGACTGCATTCGGTGATCCACAATTGGGATCTAATTACACCACATATGTGTTTTTTTATTGCTTAGATGGGTGGACGAGCTCACAGCCCATCTGGTGTAAAGTACTGGAGCCCATAGACATCTATTATACAATGTAAATACACCACCCACCTTGAGATATAAGTTATAACGGCTGCCCCACCCTTCAAACCGAAACGCATTACTGCTTCACGGCAGAAATAGGCAGGGTGGTGGTACCTATCCGCACAGACTCATAAGAGGTTCTACCACCAACGTTATCAAAAATATCACCAAAGATATGTTCAAAAGGCTTAAGGTGAGTGTGCCAAAGAATTAGAAATGCATACCAAAGCCCAAGAAACGTTAAATTTTGGGAATCAGGTAAAACTTAGAAAAAAATGTGGTCAGAGATTCGCTTAACGATAATAGTCCACATACATAGCTATTTATCAGGAAACACCCGTGAGCCCTCTTGATTTTTGAAGTGAAACTTCTTTAGGCGCATGATGGTAAAAATTTTACAGATGTAACGTCACGCAGGTATGCAACGGAAGTGTCGAAAAAGAAAGAGAGAGCGATCGAGACCGATTGGGGGAGAGTAAGACAGGGCGAACGTAGCATGAAGCAACTAGCCATGGAGTGAGAGCAGGGAGCAAGCAAGTGAGAAAGATCGAGAGAAAAAGTGAGACAGAATGCTCAGTTCCTACATACTTTAAAACATACTTATAAAGTATTTTATTTTTAATACAGCGCCATCTGTGAGATGCTATACCACTTCTACTAGTCTCATAATTTGTTTGTATTAGTGTACCCTAAAAAAATTTCACCGTCTACTTTTACTTGTCATTCTTATTTTGGATTGCGGGTCATTGGGAAACTGTACGGGTTAGTAAGGAACTTCGATGAGGTCCGGTCACCGTCCTCGTCGAACCCGTCGTTTGCGACGAAGGGCTCAACGAGCGAATTAACCCATAGACACAGCCCACTGATTTTCTCGCCGGATCTTCTCAGTGGGTCGTGTTTCCGATCCGGTGGTAGATTCTGCGAAGCACTGCTCTTGCTAGAGTCAGTGTTAGCAACAATCCGGTTTGAGTCCCGTGAGCTCACCTACACACGTTAGGGTGAAGCTGAAATAGCCTCTCAAGGCTATCAGCATAGGTAGGAAAAAAAAAGATGCTGTGTTCGCGTGACTTTCTATGAGCTCGCCTGCTCGTTCCACTGCGTTTCTTCGAATGTGAATAGCGTACCTGAGTTTCATGGCAATAGCGCAAAGCCCGAGAAGGCCGTTATATCTCCATCCATAACCCTCTAATTCGCGATGCCACGCGGCACCTGATTCTATTCCACATTTAGCCCAGTACGCTTGGACGCAGATATACCAGCTCCAATCAGTCTGAAATAAGGATTTTGGAGTTTATTTATTTATTTTTTATTGCTTAGATGGATGGACGAGCTGACAGCCCACCTGGTGTTAAGTGATTACTGGAGTCCATAGACATCCACAACGTAAATGCGCCAAATGATATAAGTTCTAAGATCTCGAGTATAGTTACAACGGCTGCCCCACCCTTCAAACCGAAACGCATTACTGCTTCACGGCAGAAACAGGCAGGGTGGTGGTACCCACCCGCGCGGACTCACAAGAGGTCCTACCACCAGTAATTACGCAAATTATAATTTTGCGGATTTCATTTTTATTACACGATGTCATCTCTTCACCGTGGAAGTCAATCGTGAACAATTGTTAAGTACGTATCTGGTACCCGCCTGAGATTTGAACACCGGTGCATCACTCAACACAAATGCACCGGTCGTCTTATCCGTTAGGCCACCGCGACTTCAGCGTTGTAAAAATTGTAAAAATTAAGCGTCTGGCTTAGATGCTCTCAGCATTAAGGTAGCAGCTCATATGCCAATTTACGTCGATAGACATTTTTCAGACTTAGGCAAGTAGGCCTATATCCATTACACAAATACTATTTGTGTTTTCTTGTCAGTTCCGTAACAAAAGTTGGAGGCCAAAATCCACTTTGGGGTCATAGCGCCAGCGTAGCAGTGGTGGTAGTGTTGTGTTAGTGGTATTGTGGTCTCTAACAAAACAAACTATATGAACCTATGGACAAACCATTTTTAAAAAGATTCGTAGGTTTATTAACGTTACTAGCGACCCGCCCTCGCTTCGCTTCGGAAACATTAAAACACATGAAACCAAAAAATAAAATAATTTTTTTTTTAAAAAAAGTAGCCTCTGTTCATCAGGGACAATGTCGGCTTCTAATGGAAAAAGAATTTTTCAAATCGGTCCAGTAGTTTCGGACCCTATTCGAAACAAACAAACAAACAAATCTTTCCTCTTTATAATATTAGTATAGATATAGATAAACTGAAACTTACTTTGGGACAAATAGGCCAATGTCGTCTAGTTCGGATGACATACTTGAACCAAGGCATCGGCACACGTCTCCAAGCTTTCATATATTGAAAGCCGACAATGAAGGCGAGCTCGCGAAACTTAGGAGTCGGGGATGAATATTCGAACCTATTTAATAAATATTCGTAAATACTTATAACTTTTCATTACTATAGTTATCAACAAATGAATGACACAAATGTCGCATTTAATTTCTCTCAAGATTTTGGACAGGATATAGATTGTTGAGCCTCCTTCTAAGTCTGAAGGAATAGATTGTCAGTATGGGAGTTGAACGTCACAAAAAGTAAGTGCTTGTACAAAAAGCGTTCGGTGGCCATTGAGGCTCCAACTTAATAAGACCAAGGATGTAAGATGACTAGCTAGCGGTCAGTCAGGCGATTAGCTTCCCAGTTGCTATCCCGAAGACTGATTTTGCTAAAATGAAACACGTCGAGCACTATAGGTATGTCATTAATTTTTGAGTGTTTTAAGGTATAATTCTTACCATCCAGAACTAGCTCTGTCACATATAACTGCATGTCCTAGAGTCCACATACTGCCGTAGAAACGGTAAGTGGCTGCCCAAACGGCTAAATCGTACACGATCGCAAACGGATGAGTAACGTTGACCATATTTGGACGCATGTACTGAAAAAAATTGTCATTTCATGTATGCGGAAGAAACTGGAAACAGGTTTCTTACAACGCTATTGAAAGCTGCCTTTAGTGATACAAAATAATGATCCTCATTTATCACTTACTGTCATCAAACCGTACTGTCATTTTACTATCTGACTCAACCTAGTCGACAGCCTTTTTATCCTGATCAATTAATAAAAAGGTTGTTGAGTAAAAGGGCGGCTGTCAGATTGGCGTAACTGATTGTAAGCTTATAACCCAAATAAATGCACAACTGGAATGCATCATTCATTGGTTTTCCTTATGAAGAGGAGGATAATAAGTACAAAATTCACTCACCCTGGGATGATAGTGGATCCTAGCTGGAGTCATATACATTGAACTATTGTAAACGTTCTCGTCGACGTCGTACCAGGCCCCCAGTATATTCTCCAGGCTTTTTTCGTGTCGGTGGTCTTTGAGGACCAGTTCGGTGGCCGTGGCACTTGTGAGGATGTGTCTTGTGGTTATGACTGCACAGCCAGCAAGCGGCGTTAGTCTTTTGTAGACTGTNGGATGATAGTGGATCCTAGCTGGAGTCATATACATTGAACTATTGTAAACGTTCTCGTCGACGTCGTACCAGGCCCCCAGTATATTCTCCAGGCTTTTTTCGTGTCGGTGGTCTTTGAGGACCAGTTCGGTGGCCGTGGCACTTGTGAGGATGTGTCTTGTGGTTATGACTGCACAGCCAGCAAGCGGCGTTAGTCTTTTGTAGACTGTCGTACAATAGCATCCTACGGTCCAGGGACGCTCCTATAAATAGCATTTTGGAAACTATCTTCAAAGATCTCATAAAGATACGGTTTTTTTATTGCTTAGATGGGTGAAAGAGCTCACAATTCACCTGGTGTTAAGTGGTTAGTGGAGCCCATAGACATCTACAACGGAAATGCGCCACCCACCTTGAGATATACGTTCTAAGGTCTCAGATATAGTTTCAGATTACAGCGGCTGCCCTACCGAACCATAAAACCGAAATGCATTACTGCTGTACGGCAGAAATAGACAGGGTGGTGGTACGTAACTACGCAAATTATAATTTTGCGGGTTTGATTTTTATTACACGATGTTATTCCTTCACCGTGAAAGTCAATCGCGAACATTTACCACGACCATTTAAACATTGCATCCCACACACGTCAAAATGTCTAAAGGGCTCTTTTGCTGTGTAAAATAAAAGCGAACATACCAAAACTTTCTTTCCAAACCAATTATAGCTCTTTATGAATCTGTAATACGCTTTATAGTGTGGTGAGAATCGATAGGGTCTTTCTTCTTCCTTGTAGAAGGTGTGGGAATGGGCTACAAATGGAGGTTCCTCGTATCTATAGTCTGGACTCTCATATGGCTCTGGCACCTGGTAGGTCGTGCCGTTGATATATCTAGATTTCGCTGGTGAAGCTCCATATGGGTAGTGCTCTGCTTCTATTGGCGGCAAATCTGAGCCTAACACCATCTCGTGGCTTACTACCAATATTAATAATCTGTAAACGAGAAAGAACGTACTTAAAAAAATGTTTTCTTTCCATGTAATTTAACTAAACTGTAAGTTATTTTTAAGCAATTAACTCAGGGAAATTAAATAATAACTTAAATCCCAAGCTCTAAAAATATTTTAAACGACTGCTTTGAAAGTTCTAAAAAAAAGACGTAAGAATGTGAAATTAAATTGAACAAGAATACAGAAGTACCTCAATAAGTGCAACATCGTTCTAACTGATTCGTAAATTGGAAATGTGAAAATCAATTTATAACATTTTGTATTGTGCATCTGGTCTGAAGGTTGACAAGTTAAAAAAATTCCAGGGATTTGCCCTTTTTTTTTATAAAACTTTAAAGATCTATTTGGGGTGTGGCGATGCAAGATGGCTTCTGATCGACGCTCACGGTGTGTCTCCTGAAACGAGGTTCTTTAGGATTTTACCGGGGACAAAATCCGCCAAGGCCGTTCTGTTAAGCCGGTGCGGTTGGGCTCGATGGGGCTTAGTTGGTAGTCGGTTCTATGGGGTGGGCCTTGTGTGGTCTGCAAGCTGCCTCGCGTGCCTTCTCAAGGCGTAGACCCTTAGGAGGAATTGGAAGACGAGCTGGATCTCGGATTTACTTTTGTCTCTGTGTTCTTCTTTATAGCCACCGGAGTCCAACATAATTCGGGCTGTTACCGCCCTTGACCGGGTACAAGTAAACGAATACCCCAGCGCTAAAAAAATGGTTCAGAAAGGACGTACCGAGACGGCCGACGTTTCAGAGCCTTCGATTCGCCTCGAAGGCTCCGTCGGCTGGGCGTCCTTGGGGTGAGCCGCGCCGTCTGGTTGTAGTGTTGACCGCGGTAGCCCCCCTACCTCATCCGGGTTCCGACCTCGGAGGGGATCAGACGTCAGGTGTAAGAGTGCAGGGGAGTCGTTTAGTGGGTGGGCCCTAAAATCCTTGGGCCCGCGGTCTGCTCACAACACCATGCAGATCGTTGAGTCTCACATACCCCGCGCGCCCCTTTTGCGCGGGGACCTCGTAGGAGGTTCGGCCCTCTACCCGAAAAAAAAAAAAGGTAAAGTAACTTCTTAAAAAGAGAAATAGTTCTCCATTTCACTGGCAACCCTCGTTGATGCTTATTTGTTTTCGTACAAACAGGAAAATCACTTTTTTGTTTGATTGTTTAAAAATGCATCGAGGAATGTACCTCATCGCTTATTTATGTCGCAGGTATCCTTTTTAATTGATAGGGAAATGACGTCACTCGCACAGTACTCTCGTCCAGCCTATATTTCCTGTGACGTTTAGCGCCCCATTTCAAGACCTTTGCCTTCTGTAGCGCGATCAGTCATCTTGACTAACTTTGTTTTTGTTGTATTGGAGTATTACTAGCAGACTTTAACGCGTTGCGCGATATTACTACGACGAATGAGTCTCTTAAATTGTTTTTTTTTACATACGATAAAACGGTAAATTTAGAGCTCGCACTAATAGATTAGGATAGCCTCTATCTCTATCTATATGTCTCAAGATCTTTATGTTGAGGTTCATATCTTTAAGCTCTTGTTGGAATAATTATGGCAACATGAAATATTTATTAGTTATTCTATTAAAAGCGTGGCAATACTGTCTGTTTTTTGTATACTTATGTTAATTTGTCTTATGGTTGAACTAACACTCTCTAATGCGTTGTCTGTAGGATATAATAAAACGGCAATTAATCTTTAAAATAAAGAGAGCACTTTTATTTTTATTGGTTAGGTTTGTGGACGAGCTCACAGCCCACCTGGTGTTAAATGGTTACTGGAGCCCATAGACACCTACAACGTAAATGCGCCACCCACCTTGAGATATAAGTTCTAAGGTCTCAGTATAGTTACAACGGCTGCCCCACCCTTCAAACCGAAACGCATTACTGCTTCACGGCAAAAATAGGCAGGGTGATGGTACCTACCCGTGCGGAATCACAAGAGCTTCTACCACCAGTAGAGGTTCTGCCACCAGTAAAATGATTACCGGATTAAAATTTTTCGCATCATTGAAATTGGACTGCATAATTGCTTCACGAGATAAAGGTAGGTAGATTCCCAACATCCTCCCCNACCCTTCAAACCGAAACGCATTACTGCTTCACGGCAAAAATAGGCAGGGTGATGGTACCTACCCGTGCGGAATCACAAGAGCTTCTACCACCAGTAGAGGTTCTGCCACCAGTAAAATGATTACCGGATTAAAATTTTTCGCATCATTGAAATTGGACTGCATAATTGCTTCACGAGATAAAGGTAGGTAGATTCCCAATATCCTCCCCCTACCCCTGACCCCTTGCCTATTTATTTATTAAAATTTCATATTCTTTTCCACACGATGTTATTATTTCATCATGGAAGTATTTCTTTAGAAAAAAAATGTCGGCCGGATTTGAATACTGAAATAGTCTGATCCCTGAATCCGAATACCTCATAATGCCTTGAGGCCACGAAAACTTATAATACTCTAATCTGATAGCGTAGCTTTGAGTGTAAATAGAAAAAAAATATATATCAAACATTTTAGACCACTGCAGCAGACACGACAAATAAGTGTAAAGGCTACAATCAGATGAATCTTAAGATTGAATTAATTTAAAATTTGACAAGCCCTTAATACGATTCCCTCGCCAACCGTCTAGTTTATAAGTGGTGTGAATTATTGGCGGCGTAGACGACAAGCACGGAGCAAGTTTGAGGAGACAGTAACTTACTGAGGTCTTTACACGTAGACATACCGTTGTTTAGATTAGGCAGCCTGCTAGCAAAGGTTTGACGCGAAAACAATCCTTTTTTCGCCGAGATTTTATCGGTTAACTAGAAAACCGATACTCTGTATTTACTTGGTATTAAAATAGGACTGCTTTTTTCTATTTTATGTTTTATTGTATTAGCGTAGATCAGTAAGCAATGAGCAAGTTCAATCTACATAGTATCGAGCTTTAGCGGTCACTTTAAACTTTTTAGATGATACGGCGTGAATACTTTCGCTAACGTGACTTGTCTAACGTAAGCTCCGTGTGTACGTTTCTTCTGCAAGACTACATATGCATCTGTGTTGCACTAAAACGCACCTTACAGCGCTACGTTTAAAGGCCTTCGAACAGGTCGTATCGTTTAATTAAAATTTGTATTTTCATGAGATCGTTCCGTAGTTAGGCGACTTCACTTGAGGGAGTTTGGGATGTGAAATATACTTCATCTCTCTTATTGCAGGTCGAAGAACCTTTAGTGTATTACGGCCTTTGGTTAAGGTTGTTTAGACGTGCTTACAATAGAGATAGAATTACTTTAATGGAACCTCAAGTATTTGAGTCAAAATACAAAAAAAATAGTGCTAAGGAAAAGTTTCACTGACATCGTCATTTCAAAATGTGAATTTAGGTAATCCATTAGAAACCCGGTTATGTTTTAATATATTTAGCACAAATTTTGCGTATTTTCGGCTGGTTATTGACGTGACAACGTCTTATAGTTCGACGGAGCCGGCTGCACGCACGAAAAAACATGACTCATGCGGCGTTACCTCACTCTGAGGCGTTCCATTTAAGGCTTGAAGTGCAAGCGAGAGCGCGCAACGAGCAACAAAGAGGCACAATCGGCCTCCGCGTTCGGCAGCGTTCGACATCTGTCTCTCTCCTACTTGAGTGAGCGATGCATCCGCGTGGACAGCTGCTATACAATAATAATACATTTACATGTTTTCGTCAAGTATGAAGTTCAGTGACAAGTGAATGTGGTGCACATTGTTTATAGCAACGATAATTGCGATAATTGAAAAATGAAACTATTCCATCAGTATTTTCTTATGACGTTGTCACGTTTAACTACCGTCAGTAAAACGACTTTACAGACAACCGATTTTTTTGGGTAAGTGAACATTCTACTTCTAAGTTTATTTTTGACGTTAACTCTATGGTTACCGAGAACTGAGTTCTAACGAAACTAAAACAAACATAATCAAGTAAAACTATATTCAAGGGCGGATCCAGCTTTGGCGCCAGGAGGGGGTCACATAGTCGTGGGCAAGTTAAGAACTTATAATTTAATTTTGATAACAATAGATCATAAATAAATCATGATGTTCTTCAATTAGTCCAAGTTAGTTCAAGTCCTGGAACTGGCTCAGGGGGGGGGGGGTCATGACCCCCATGACCCCCTCTGTGTCCACCGTTGACTATATTAAGCGAAATAAAATATCAAAACATATATATAACACGTTTAATATACAAGTTAAGTGGAAGCCCGCCGGATATTGCACGCTTTAATTAAAGACTGCGGTTTGCTCGCAATTAATTTAATGATCACCTCTTCATTATAAGTTTTATTTATTAGTCGGTAGGGTTGACATTGGAGATGTAGCCACGTTGCTTTTGAAGTGTGTATGTACAGTTTTTTTTTATTGGTTATATGGGTGGACGAGCTCACAGTTCACCTGGTGTTAAGTGGTCACTGGAGCCCATAGATATCTACAACGTAAATGCGCCACTCACCTTGAGATTTAAGTTCTTAGGTCTCAGTATAGTTACAACGGCTGCCTCACTCTTCAAGCCGGCCTCTTGTGAGTCCGCACGGGTAGGTACCACCACCCCGCCTATTTCTGCCGTGAAGTAGTAAGGCGTTTCAGTTTGAAGGTTCGGTTACGTTTTCTTACTGCACAGTCGTAATTTTGTTTTTTATTTTTCTATACTTGCTTTTTAAAACACCACACCATTCTACTCTGGATTTCGTCAGCTTTTAACGGCGATGGATGCTGTTTTCCCGTGACGGTTACTGTTTACCAAGACGTCCGAGAGAATAAATAGTCACGTAACCGGGCGCTCTCACTCAAGCCGGGCAGCACTTACCTCAGGATATCCTGATTCCGGATCTCTCTAACGAAAACCTGCCTCGGCATCATGAAGGATTTATCGACGGAACTTACCTTTGTATTGTAGTGAGAGATTTTAAAGATAATACG